TTCTGCTCCTCTCAGGGACCAGCCTCAGCCCAAGCGAAGGGACAGACAAATCCAGAAGATCACCAATGCCACACGAGCCTTCTTCTTAACTAACCTCTTGCTTGTTGGCTTTGGGATCACCTGCCTCATCCCTATCCTCCAGCTGCAGGTATGCAAGACTACCCTTTGCTCAAGAATGAAACTGCTCGCCAATCAGTTCCCCCTATAAAACACGTACCATAATAAGCATAAACATGGCTTCAGGTAATACTAATCTAAATATGTGATCATCATAACCAGCGTAATCCCCAAAACAGAATAATAGCACATCTTTGACAATACTACTGCATAATTCGTTTATCTCCTCTATGTGGATTAAATGCTTAATGCTTACAGAGATCTTGGAGTGAATATGCTACAAACATAAAGGTGCCATAAAGTGTTCTTTGCCGTAAAGCCATGGAATAACCACTTTTGGTTCTGTAAAGAACCTTCAAATTAATGGTTCTTTACAGAGCCATTTTAAATAAATATGTGTTGTGTGAGTTAAGAACCTTTTTAAAGGTAGTTTTTTCTACACCAGTTAAATACTTTTCCTAAAACCATATGTTAAAGCCAAGAACCTTTTATATATAATAAGTTTAGTAATGATTTTTACACTTACGTAAAAAGTAAGCAATAAAAGTGAAAAGATGGGCTAATTGAAACCCTGTGTCACTCTTCTTCCTCCTAGCTGCTGTCCTTTGTTCTGCACACCATGGTCAGAGGCTTCATCCACTCAGCTGTTGGGGGACTTTATGCTGCTGTGTAAGTTTCTAAACCTTCTAAAAGTCTCTGAATTTTGTTATGTATAGCTGTAAACACTGTAATAGCTCCTGTAGCAGAGCTGGCTGTAATGGATGGAGTCATCTATACAGTAATGATATGGTAATAAGAGAATGTGTGTTTGTCTTCAGGTACCCCTCATGCCAGTTTGGGACTCTGACGGGGATGCAGTCTCTGATTAGCGCTCTCTTTGCCCTGCTCCAGCAGCCTCTCTTTATGGCCATGATGGGACCTCTGCAGGGAGATCCGCTCTGGGTATGAACACATACACCAAAATAGGGGTGGACAACATTATGATACAGTGCTGTGCAAAATTGAGAGACGACCCTTTCGTTTATTCAGTTTCCAATCAAAATGGTTGTTCATTTTTTCAGTGTAGCTGAAAATATTCAGCATTTTTCATTGTAGCAGTGAAGAAACTGTTACTGAGGAAAGGATATGGTCAAAAAAGAACAAAATCTGCCCTGGACATCTAAGATGTAGAGAGAGATTTTATGGCCTGATGAGTCTAAATTTGTAATTGTGATTACTTTGTGTTTGTGAGAAGCAGAAAATGCAACCAAATACTAAGATACAAATAGGTGATTAGAGGTCAGCTTAAATTTAAATTGCTGTTTTGCTGGTGCATTTTGTTCATTCCTATTTGTTTGAAAGCCTCAGAAAAACAAAATTCTAATACATATCTATTATGCAAATACCAGACCTGAGAAATAAAATACAATATACTGTTGGGAGTAGGATAGGAGTGTGCATGACTGAGACTGCTCAGTCTGTCTACCTCTCTGCAGTGCAAATACCCACGTCCACAAACTCACACCTCAGAAATTTGAATAATTTCTCACACACCAAATAGAAATGATGCTGAATAAATGGATTGTGTAAAGACATTTTTTAACTTTTCTGTCTCTTTTTTCTGTATCTTCACTCAGGTGGATGTAGGTCTTCTCATCTTTAGCATGCTGGGCTTCCTTTTGCCTCTCTATCTGCTGTGCTTCCGCAGAAACCTCCACAACAAGAGGAAGCAAAAAGAAAACGACGCCAAGATCTACATCAAAATCAACGGCAGCGACAAACCGGAAGCCTTCGTCTAGAATCAGGCCAGACACATCCAGGGAAACAAAGATATGAGAATAAATGAGAGAAACTGTCATTATTAAATAACACACACATACAAAAATACATGTTTTTTCCACTCTTAGAGGCTCATCGAACTGATAACGTTGTCATGGAAACTGACAACTGTTAAGCCATCATTGTGGAAGAACGACAGCAATGAAGAGAGAAATATACAAACCTCATCAGTTAAAAAAAGTGGAATTAGTGAATTAGTTTCAATGAGGAATTTTCCTGTGATATTTACTGTATGTGCCTGATCTGTGGAGAAAACCAGAAGCATGTACATTTCTCCTACTTTCAGCCGAGCTGCCCGGCTCTTGGTGCCTTAAAGACATGCAGTGCAGAGTCGTTTAGTGGGAAAAAACTGGCAAACAGCCAGTCCAGTGTCTTTTAAAGTGCCTCAGCCCTATGTAAAAATCGAATGTCCCTCAGACGGGTCCTATTTTAATTTATTACCACCGTTTGTTTTGGTATGGTCAGAGTTTTATATTTGTATGTTTTTAAACATTTATTAAACAAGCTTGCAAAGAGTGCTGCCACATGTAAAACACCACCACTGAATGAATTATGCTAGTTATTTCCGTGCCTTTGGTGCTAGCCTCATTCAGCAATACCATGTCATATATAAATTAGGTAAGAAGTAGCACCTCCAACCCATTATGTGCCTTACAAATGTGCTTGGACATAAAATTGCTGGCCTTTGTTGCCCCCTAGGGCTAAAAGAGGGAAATACTGAACTATGCATGCAGTGTGTGACAGTGCCATGACCCCAAAGTCTCTCCAACTGTATGTTTTTTGAAAATGAAGATACTACCTGTTGTAATGATATTTATTTCATTTTAATAAATATATTTTACATTAAGTTTTTAAAAGAATAATGACAAAAGCAGAAATGCACAGAAGCCATGCACGGAGTTGCACAGTCACACAGTCGTTTTAGGTATTTTTTTATAGACAGTTCTGTGAACGTCTGTTTTTAGCATCTAGCTGTCTATATGTTCCTAATAAAAAAAAATCTCATGTGTGATGTAGGGTATACTCTGCAGGTGGCTCTAAAGATAGCTATACTCTGATAGTTATGCAGGTTGTGACTGAAGTGAGTTTTGTTTTTCTCAGGCCCACATTTCATGGGAATTACAGCACTTTTAGCTCACGTCTTAAATCCTCAATGACTCTTTTTCCTAAGAGCTCATTTGCCCTTTGTAATGGTAATGTGTTAATGCAGTTAAATGTTAGGTAAATGTTGTGTGTATTGAGGTGAAAACTATGACAATGCTGGAAATGCAGGATTTGTATGTATGACTAATAGTCTGAGGAGAAAAGGTGTGTTTTTGATGGTCATATTTATTTGTTTTATTTCTTCAATTAAAGCCCTGTATGTAAAGAAATTCATTTAATAACCATTTGGCGAGCTGTTTTTTTGTGTTCCAAGTACTGCATTAGTGCTTCTGTAGGCATTACTAGTGAAGAGTAACATCAAATAAATGTGACTTTCTTCAATGTATTGTTGCTTTGTTTATTATGTGATTATTTGTATGTCAGATGTAGATACTGATTACATACTGAAGCAGACTATACTGCCGTTATGTAATACGCTTGTATTAAAGGCCTGTAAAAGTAGTCATTAAAGGGGAAGTTCTCCAAATTTTAAACATTATTTGCAAAATTTAATTGTTGGGATTTAAAAAAAGGAATACAGAGTGGCTTTGTGTGAAATGCGCTATTGCAGAGAAACTGTCCAACTTGGATTTCTTTACAGTGGTGGTAATAGGAACCAGAGGTTGCAACCAGGGGACAACCAACAGGTGTCTGAGTTTTTGTGTGATGTTGATGATGGTAAATTATTGGTAAAGCTGCAAAAATGAGTCTTATTTGTGTGCAATTGCATTTCAACTACCTGCATGTACCACTCCGCCATTAATGGAGTTTAAAATATGTTTTAGGTCAAAATCTTAAAATAACGCTACAAAATGATGTCTCAGGTATCAGGCAGCAAATTCGCAACCATTACCTGTTATAACTTTCTGTAGGGTAACTTTTAGAGCCATTAAACTCCTCATCTGGTTCTTGTCACCAACACAGTGAACAAGACTGCCTCAGGAGGTTTCTCTGCAATGGAGCATTTCACAGCAAACAACACTGAATGACTGTTTACATCTTGGCCATTTAATTATGTGAAACTGTTTAAAAATGGACCTTTTTGGAATTGACTTAAGTGATGACAGCTTTCATTTCACATACAGATACACGGCTCATCTAGGTCTCCTGGCAAAAGATAGAGATGACTGAGTAATAATAAGAGGATGCTGCTGGCTACAGATGTGCTATAAATAGAGGCCAGCTTTGCTTTAGTGTTACATAATTTCTGGCAGATTATTGCTGGTGGAGATGTGTAACTCCTGAGCCTTGCGGTCCGTGATCAGCTCTGCCGGAAACTGGTCAACCAACGAGAGGCCGGCGGTGATTGCGTCACCGGGGGGTGGGGGCACCCTGTTTCTGAAAATATCAGCTGTGACCACGATCAGAGTGGATTTCTCCTATTCCGACAGGCCCCGCCCTCTACGCTAGGATTGGCTAGTAGTTCCTCATCAAGAGTCGTTCACCAGTCAGCGTAGGGGGCGGGGTTTGTAGTAATACGCGCGGGGTGGGGAGAATAGCACATCAGCAGCCAATCCTATAAAGTGCACTGCGTAAGTCCGGAATCTGTGGCTTCTACATCGAAACAGTGCTCCAAATGTTTGATAGTGAGTCGTGCAGCTAATGCCTAAATATAAATGTGGCTTTCTTTTCCACACATGAAGCACTATTTGGGTGTAGAGACCATTATTTAATGACCTACATAGTGCACTACATAGGGAGGAGAGAGCAATTTGAGATTCAGCCCTAGTTTGACTAGCAGCCGATCCTAGCTCAGGGGGCGGAGTTTGTCAGAGTACGGGTGGAGAAAAATAATAAATAGCCTAACGTACAAGCGGTCCTCTCATTTGACGTCACTCAGCCTACGTCACGGCATCAGGGGTTGTGGCTCCGGTGACTGCCCCCCTCGGCCCTGCTCGAGAAGGGAACGAGTGGTGAAAAAAAAGGGAAACACACGGCGCCTAGAATGACATAGAAGCGGCTCAAGCACGAGAGACTGGAGAGACTGGAACTGAGAGAGAACTGCGCTCGCGAGGATCACGACCACCATCATCTGACCAACACAACAGCGGAAAATGCTCATTAAAGAATAGTAAGTGGGTCTGTTTTCCCTATTTTGTGCTGCGCTCCGGTGGGGCTTTGGCTGAGCGAGGCCATGGCGACGCCGTGAACTTGACTCGTATTTCTAACCTGCTGATGTGAGGTGACCCTTTTTTGCCTTCAGCTGTTTTAGCCAAGACGAGCTCCCCCTCAGGTTCCGTTCACAGACGCCGTGTTTCAGACCCTCTTTTGTAATCTTTCTCCTCTGTGTTAGTGCGTTAGAGGGGATGAGGGTTTGTTTTTGAGCTCTCCCGGGCTTAATCCGCTGCACTCGCCCACATCTGAGGCAGCATCTGAAGTGTGATTCGGCTCCGTCCTCTTTTCCAGCAGTGCTGCTGCTGCTGCGCGGCCGTGAAGGTGAACCCATCCCAGTTTACCCTCAACGACACGCTACCTTTCTAGATTCACGCCAATTTTTGTGATGTAGTGGTCGTTACGTTACATGTTGCAGCCCGAGCTGAGGGTTAGGCTCCAGTTGAGATTCTAAGTGTAATGTTTAAACGGTTTAGCCTAGAATGAAGCCAGTGTGGGCCACATCTGCCGGCGCTACCTAGCGACATGTCCTACAGTAGCACCTTTATGTAGGCAGCGCTCTACATTAAACTGTAGGTAACTGTAGGTTTTTATAGTCTGATTCAGCCTATAAGAAAATGGTAACAGCATTGTAAGAATAATTACAGTATGAATGCCTAAATAATCCAATCAGGGTAATATTAAGATGGGTCTGTACTGAATTAACATCAAATACACAATAAAACGTTTGAAACGCTAAGTTACTACGCTGTACTAATGATGTGCGCATGCCCAGTAGGACCGCTTGATGGGTAGGACAAATTGTTAGAACACCGGCATCTTAGCCAAAATGCCTTTAGTAGTGGAGGCGTTCCCTTATCAAGGTCATTTCTGAGGGAAAATCAAGTAATCTCTAATCAAACATCTCGCGTTTAGGTCTCGCGTTAGCTCGGTTCAGTTAAACTTCAGATATGATTTAAAAAATTGTAGAAGAAACACTAAAACCGAGACATCCTCAGTCTTATGTAATAGTGAGAGGCCTGGCGCCGGTACCTGCCAGCAACCAGCACTGGAGCCATTAGTGCTCCATTCCTTTGTGCTTTTTCTTCTGAAACACGCCGTTAAAGGCTATTTTTTGAGAATGCATTGCGTCTTGTCATCATTGGGGGGGTGGGCTATGACTCAGGAGAAGCACATTTAGCTGGGACCATCATTCAGCCCTCAAGCTGCACTCATCTTACTAACACAGCTATGCGTTATTTTTTCCCCCACCCGTATTCCGGCAAACCTCTGCCTCCTTCGCTAGGATTGGCTAGTAGCTCGCATTCATAAGCAGTTCGCCGAGGAGTGTGAACTACTAGCCAGTCCTAGTGCAAGAGCAGGGATACTGCTAACCAATCAGCGGAGTGAACAGGATTAGTCTACATACAATAGGCGGAGTTTTTGCGAGTGTGAACTACTAGCCAATCCTGGCGCACGAGGAGGGACATTACGAGCCAATCCAAACGCGAATAGGCAGGGTTTGCCCGAATACGGGTGGGAGAAGGAAAAAAAAAAACTAATGCTGTCGTGTTCCATCGTCAGAGGTTTTATTTCATTGTTTCCTTCAGCGAAGACTCAAAGGTCACGAGCCTGAGATGAAAGCCTCGTGCAGAGTGATGTGGACGGTTATTGATATTTTAATGATGATATGTTATCATAGTTTTGTCTCTACAGTTCGTGATTGCCACCAGTGCTCTTTCCCCACAGGCCTTCAGTGTGCGCTGTCCATGGTACCTGATTATGCACTGCTGGGAACAGGCTTTACAATGCTGTTCACGCAGAGCTCTCAAATCTCCAAATTATGCATGGAAGCCAAATGTCATAGCTTGACTCATGCCTCCTTACTAACTTATGTTAATTTGCTACAGTTCAAGGTCACTGAAGTTATGCTCAGTTGTTTAAAACACAGCGTCTGTATGTTTTTTGTTTTGTTATTTGTGCATGTGAAGTGTCTGTTTGTGTTGAGGTGAAACATTAATCTCTGACCTCTAGTGCTGGGTCACTGTGACCTGCTTCATCTCCAGAACTGAGACATGCACTTTGGTGGACAGCACTGTCACAGTGCAACAACAGTGATAAAAGTCAGCAATTACCTTAGTATTATAGCTACATTATTGTTGTTCTGCCATTATCTCAGCTCGAACAGTACTAATCTGCTAGTGTATTTATTGTATTTTAGAAGAGCAGATGATTAGGCAATGCTGGTTCCTGCACTAAAATGTCTGTATTTTATTAATTTTACTGCATTTGTAATCTAGAGAAAAACAAATACCAAGACTTTGTAGTAGTTGAGTTTGAGTCAAGACCGAATAACCAACACTGAGACAAGGCCGAGACCAGATTAAGTTTTTTCCGGTCTATGAAAAATAAACAGAAAAAAGAGAAAAAACTGACATGCATTTGTAGTTCATTGTATTTCCATTCTATGGTCATTGAATATTATATATATATATATATATATATATATATATATATATATATATATATACTTTGAGAAGATTTTGACAATGGCTCAGTGAAGTTTTGCCTGATCCATTCATACAGATTGCTTAGAAGCATGTACACACTAAACAAATCTGAGGTTTGTAATTTCCAGAGGTCCCACGTTCTGCTTAGACAGAGTTCCTGACTAGGTTTTATAACAGTGGTTAACAACTTTCTCTGTTAACCCAAGTTTAGATACTCAAGCTATAATCAATACTTGTGCACATACACAAGAAAGTGTCACATTTATAACACACAGCCAATCGGATGAAACATGAGGGGGAGTTGAACAGATTTTTCAGAGAAGAAGAAAGACATCTATGAAAATATGTAGAAAGTAAAGCATTTATTATAGAAATAGCAACGCGGACCCATCTGCAACCATGTTGGGGCTTACTGAAGTAATAATTGCTTTTTATTATTGGTATCTATGTTTCCTATACTAAAAAATGATTGACACCACATGTGTCACGAAAAGGACCAGAGGGCTCCACTTCTGTCAGAAGGCTGTCCTTGATTGATCAGAAGCTCGGCCCCCATTGGAGCTATTCATGATCTGAAATCCCGAACTTAACCTGCCCTGGAGAAGGTTAGGCTTGTAGCATAAGTTGCCATAGTGATGTAGCGATGTAGTAAGAAGTGATCCACCTTTGTGAGACAGAAAATCCAGAGTTTGATCAAATTAGGCTTAAAGTTAGCTGGCTAAGCAAGCTATCTATCCATCCATCCATCCATCAATGTGATGATAATTTTGCTGGTATGCTTTTCTGACTGTACAACATGGCTGTCGTCAATACTTAAGTCACATTGTGCAGCTGCTTGTTTCATTAGAAAGAGAGCATGATTAATTCTGTTTAATCGGATTTGCTGTGGCACAGTGTATGATACTCCTGAATAAAAGTAATTATCATATATGAATTGATAGTATATTTTAAAAGCATCACTACTGGCGCTTTTTTGTCTGTACCAACTTATCAAACCTCAGAAAAATGTAATATCATGAAATGTATTGTGTATTATCTATCTATCTATCTATCTATCTATCTATCTATCTATCTATCTATGTGGGCCTCTTATGTTTAGACAAAAAAATGGCAGATTGTAGCATAATACCCCCAACACTTCTTTAAACTTACGTTCAACACCTTTAAGTTCACACTAACTAAACATAATGCGTAGCTAAAAACTCATTTATAAATTGCGTCAGCCCTGTCAATGAAACAATAGGTAAATCCTGCTTTAAGCAGCCAAACATGCAATTCAGGGAGACATTATTAATGCAGGAGGAGACCTTGGTGTTATGGAAGCAGAGCAGAGCAGATAAGACACCGGATCTCCCGTAGTGACCGTTAGTCTGTATACAGGGCATACAGGCACTCTGACAGGCAAGGTGACTCTGCTGTTAGCCGCTTACAGGAAACAGCACATCACACCACCTGCAGTCTTTAGACTCCTGCAGACTAGCTCTTTCTCTGTATGAGTGCTGGGGGTCAGCTCGGCTTGACCAACCTAGTCACTACACCATGCCTCAGTAGGTCGGCCATGTATGCAGCGCAGCCACAAAAGGGATACAGTGCAGCGTTCGTGTTATAAGACGGAGCTGGAAGTCTAAAGTCACTGAAGCCGCTGGTGTCGTCTTACTCCTGAAGAGTATTGATGAAAAATGCAGGCAGCACAGAATGAGCTACAGCCAGCTGCCACTCAGAAACAGCACTAAGGCAGCAGTAGAGCTCGTTCAAAATTTTGAAACATCAACCTGGCCAGGGACAGCAGATTTAGCTACATCTGGCACATTTACATCATGAAATAATGATGCTGATTATTGTGTATTGTCCCAGTTAAATAAATAAAGTGACTTGAACTGAATCTCTAGAAAGGCTTCCATCCACAGCATTTTATGGAGAAATCATAGTTTTGCTTTGAAATGGTGGATGGGGTGTGTGAATTGTATTTTTATAGTCATCACAGTATAATTTTCTGCGATTAACACATCATTAAGGGCTTTAAGGACAGAGGTTAAAAGAAACCACAAAATATTCACATTTAAGAAGCAGAAATCAGAGAAATTTTACTTTTTTTTCGTTAAAAAGTCACTAAAACCGATAGTCGATGACCAACATAGTTAAGTGATTAATTTAATAGTTGACAACTAAATGATTAATTGTTGCAGCTCTAGTTCCAGTGAAGGGAAATCTTAATGCTTCAGCAGACCAAGCCATTTTGGACAATTGTATGCTTCTGATTTTGTGGGAACAGCTTGGGGAAGACCATTTACTGTTCCGGCATGACTGAGCCCCGTTGCACAAAGCAAGGTCCATAAAGGCATGGCTGGGTGAGTTTGGTGTGGAAGAATTTGCTGGTCCCGCACAGAGCCCTGACCTCAACCCCATCGAACATCTTTGGGATGAACTAGAACGGAGATTGCGAACCAGGCCCTTTCAGTTAACATCAGTGTCTGACCTCACAATTGCCCTTCTGGATGAATGGGCAAAACCTCCCACAGACACACTTCATAATCTTGTATACAGCTTCCCAGAAGAATGGAAGCTGTTATAGCTGCAAAGGGGGACCGACTCCATATTAATGCCTGTGGATTTAGAATGGGATGTCATAAAATCTCCTGTAGGTGTAATGTATAGGTGTCCCAATACTTTTGTCCATATAGTGTGTACATATATACATTTTGTGTAGAATTTCATTACTCTTATTGTATTTTTAGCACAATAGTACTTTTGTGACTCTATTCATAATTTATTGCATGTTATATAATTGCAGCATCTAACAACTTTATCAAACAGTTTTTTGAATGTAGTGTGATATTATGCAACCCTGGTTGACAGTATAGTCAGTAAAATAACTAATTATCAGTAACATTTTACAAATTTCTACATTTTTTTTTTTAATTTTCCATTTAGCAGATAAATTGCTGGGCATTTTCATAGTGTTTACAATGAGACAACAACTTAACTCCAGAATCTGCAGAGCCAGTTGCTCTCAGCAGTTGCTACCTGGAGTTTCAGCTGGCATTCTCTGCTGCATGTTTCATAATTTGATCAGCACAGCTCAGACTTTAGTTGTTTACTCAAGGTCATAAAGTCTCATTGGGATCTTGGCAGTGTTAGCAAACTAAAGTGACAACACTGGCTCTTCGTGTTACACATGAATGCATTTTATAATAATGCCACAATAGCAAAACACTAGGAACAGAAATGAAATGTAATTAGCATGTGATGTTACTGTAGCTCTCAGATCTCTTTAACCTTGCTATTTCCATCTAATTGAAAGGCTTCTGGTTTCACTAAGTATGAAGGCATCTCTGTCATCAAACATCCGGAAATGTAAATGCCTCTGACTTGGAGGTATTTAGGTTATTTAGTGATGTTAGACTAGGCTAGGTTATGGTAATGATGGTGAGGTTAGTGTAAAGTTATGGTAAGAATGTAATAATGGTGAGTGTAGTGTCATTTATGGTAATGATGGTAAGGGCAGTGCAGTTATAGAAACAATTGTATTGATTATGAGGGTCGTGTAGGTTATGATAATGATGGTAATGATTGTGAGGGCACTCTAGGTTACGATAATGAAAGTAATGATGAAAGGTTAGTGTAACTTATGGTAATGATGGTTACAATGGTGAAATTAATGTAGGTTATAGTAATGTTGGTGGGTAGTGTAGGTTATGGTAATGATGGAAGTGTTGTATAGGATATAATGATAATAGTAATGATGGAAGGTTTGTCTAAGTTATGGTAGTGATGGTAATGATGGTGAGGGTCATGTAGGTTATAGTAATGATGGTGATGTGAAGCTAGTGTAGATTATGGTAATGATGGCAAGGATGGTGTAGTTGTGGTAATGATGGTAATGATGGAAGGGCTGTATAGATTATGGTAGTGATAGTGAGTGTAGTGTAGGTTATAATAACAGTTATAATAATGATGGTAATGATGGAAGGGTAGTGTAGGTTATAATAATGATGGTAATGATGGAAAAGTAGTGTAGGTTTTGGTGATGGTACTGATGGAAGTGTAAAGTAAGCTATGGCAATGATAGGATAGTGCAAGTTATTATAATGATTATAATGATGGAACTGTCACATAGGTCATAGCAATGACAGTGAGGGTGATGTGGGCTATGGTAATGATGGTGAGGGTAGTATATGTTATGGTATAACAGTGAGGATAGTGTAAGTTATGGTAATCATAGTACTGAAGGAAGAGCTGTATACATTGTTATAATAATGGTGGAGTAGTGTAGGTTATGTTTATGGTGGTAATGATGGTGATGGTAGAGTAGGGTATAGTAATGATGGAAAGGTAGAGTAGGTTATGGTAATAATGGTGAGAATAGCGTAAGTTATGGTAATGATGGTAATGATGGTGAGAATAGCATAAGTTATGGTAATGATGATAATGATGAAAGTGTAGTTTAGCTCATGGTAATAATGGTGAGGAGAGTTTAGGTTATAGTAAAGATGGTGAGGAGAGTTTAGGTTATAGTAAAGATGGTGAGGATAGTGTAAGGTATGGTTATGATGGCAATTATGGAAGGGTAGAGTACGTTAGAGTAGGTTATGGTAATGAGGGTGAGGGTAGTGTAGGTTATGGTAATAGCGGAGGGGTAGTGTAGGTTATGGTCATGGTGGTAATGATGGTGAGGGTAGTGTAGGTTATGGTAATAGCGGAGGGGTAGTGTAGGTAATGGTCATGGTGGTAATGATGGTGAGGGTAGTGTTGGTTATGGTAATAGCGGAGGGGTAGTGTAGGTTATGATCATGGTGGTAATGATGGTGAGGGTTATCATAATGATGGTATGGGTAGCATAGGTAATGTTAATGAAGGTAATGTTTGTGAAGGTAGTGTAGGTGATGGAAGAACAATGTAGGTTATGGTAATGATGGCAAGGGTGATGATTATAGTAATGACGGTGAGAGTAGTGTGGGTTATGGCAATGATAGTGAAGTTAGAGTAGGTTATAATAACGATGGTCATGATAGGAGGTTAGTGTAGGTTACGGCAGTGAGAGTGGTGATAAATGTGAAGATGTGAAGACTCCTTTGTGCTTCTTTGTAATCTTCATTTCTTTCTCTTTTCATTTCAGTCGAGTGATCCTACCCATTTCTGTGGAGGAGGTAAGTGTTAAGTGAACACTGATTTTTCTCCCTGTGTGTGCATATGTGGTGTGAAGCTGAATTTTGTGCTGTGAATTCATTATGACTGCAAAAACATTATGCTTCTTCAGGATTTTTATTCGCTTGTATACAAAAGCCTGGCTTTGTGGTTTAGAATGACTGGCTGCCAGTGTGCTGTGAGTCAGGCTGTGTAGGGTAAGAATCCTCTCATGCTGTGTGTTCCCTGTATATGCTGTTAAAAAGAAGTAATGACTAACTCACTGCCTATCTATGTGCCTGCCAATGTCAAAAGCTGTCTCAGCAATTCTAGTCTTATAAGCAATTCTCTCTCTCTCTCTCTCTGTTTTATTATTTAATATTTCAACTTTGGCTCTGTAGTGCATACGTTTGGGAGAGATTTGAAGTCAAACACTCTTAGCCTTTCCCCTCACAATAAATATTGTATTCTCTATCTTTCTCTCTCTTTTACTCTATGCCTTTGTCATATTGCTCTCTGCTCTCTTTCTTTCTTTTGGCCCCTTGCTGCCTCTTTATCTCCCATGATTCTCTAGCGTGTCATTCAATTCAGTAGTTGCCTAGTGCTGAATAGCCAATGAGTTACCTGATATCACCTTATTCTGCCTCTCTCTCTCTCTCTCTCCCGCTCTGCAGAAGCACATACATTTGTCACGTTTCAGTCATTATGTATAAAGTTTCATATCGTTGTAACCAAACCTTGTATCTTCGAAATGGTAACTTGACAGGAGAAAGAAAAACGGGTTTCATATCAAAGTTAGATCAAGTTAATGGAACAGGATTTTGTAATTTCAGACCATGTCATCATGAAATTCCTCACACAATGTTAAGCACAGCAGCTTCAAGTAGTGTTAATGAGGTTTACAAGGTTTAGACCAATGATACATACTTACAGTCAAATGCAAGATTTTGAACACAGCTGGTTTTGTAGCTTGTGGCTTGTTTTTCTCTCCAGCTTAGTTGTAGTCAATTCCATTAGTTAGGAACCCCCCAATCACACAATACCACCAGCGCTGGGAGGGTGAAGGCTAGCACATCTGGCATCACGCTTGGTGATGGGGGGAGACAAGGGGCCATCCTCCCACCCAGAGAGGCCTCTTTGCAATTGTGCTTTCTTGAACTCCTGGTCATGGATGGTTGTAGCATAACCAGGGATCAAACCCATGATCTCCTGATGTTACTTAGATGGTTGCGCCACTCCAGAGCCCTGTTTTGTTGATTAAGTGAAAATAAGCACACATCCTCTACAGAGAACTTAAATATGGCATTTTTCTTCTGTAGTGCACTATTTCTGTTTATTGTAACATACTGGAAAAATTAAAACATAAAAATATAACTTTCTATATGTCTGTCATATTTTAGGTTTTTCCACCCCATTATGTTAAATATGTTAAATTCAGCAAATAAACATTAATTGTGTATTAAAATGTGCAGAAGTATGTTATCTGTAGAGGATGTGTGAACTTATTTTCACTTAGAAAATCAACAAAACATGTCATTTTGACATATTTGAGCCATCTCTATATATAAGTTGTAGTTTGTGTCTATTCCTGCAGGCTGTGTCCCCATTTCTGGTGTGTCTCGCCTGCATTCTCAGGGTGATGAGGTCAGGAGAGCAGCCCCCTCCTCAGAATGCATTAAGCAGCTTACCCCAGTGCTAATGCCTGGTCATGAGCAGAGGAGCATTGTGCTCTCAGTAAGTGGGCTAAGAGTTCTGTCAAGCAGTCTTTACAATGTCACTGTCATATCTAAACCTCATAACTTAAATTCTGTTTTTTTTGTTTGTTTCACACCTTTTGAAAACACCAGCTGCCCTTTACCTTGTGGGAACATCTCATGATGAATGGATCAATAGAAATGGTTCAAACGACTAAAAAATCTCATTACATTATTACACCATAAAATTAAGAATGTCTTTCCCTTCTTCTATAAAGTTACAATTACTGAGATTAAATTTGAGCCAAAAATCAAATTTTCCATGATCTCAAAGGTAGGCGGTCAGCCAAGATATGTTTAGTGTCTGAAGTTTGCACTGGAGCTACGAGGTTAATAACGAACAAATAATGGAAGCGTATAGTCACCAGCTTAGCTTTATACAACCCTTAACATCCTCAAACCGTGTGGAATTGTTAAGTAATCCTAAAAAGACTTGCTTATGTGGTTCCTGACTGTATGGCATACTGTTATCTATGCCAGCAGATTTCAGCCTTTAACAATCCATTTTCAATGGCATTTACTCATCGTCATGCTTCAGCTATGCCAAAATTAAAATGTATTTAAATGTATTTGAAACCCTGTTTGCAATCAGTCAAAAGCTGTGGGTGAGACATAGGGAGGGGCTTTTTCAAGCAGGGCATGTTTTAAGAGGAAGTGATGGAAAAAACATGACATTTTAACACTCGCCATCCAGGCTGAGAATAATTCTGTCCAAAGTCACTTTGTGTGGAAGTGATTCTTGACCAACTAGAAGAGCTCAATACTGTCACAAACACCAATGTTAGTGAAAATGTGTCTTCACACTGGCAACAAGGGAGTAGCCGGCTTCAGGCAGAGGCTTGCAGGACTGTAGGAGGACCTAGATGGCCAGTACTAGATATTCCTGTTAAGGAGATGCAGGGCCACTGTGAGTTAGCGCAGTGTTTCCCAGCCCTGGTCCTAGAGGAACACTGCCCTGCACATGTTTCACTGCTCCCAACACACCTGATTTAACTAATCAAGACTGAGTTTCCTGAAAGCATCTTAGCACAAAGATTATTCTTAAATGGAGGCACAGCATCACACTAAACATTCTGTCTACCAGTAATGCCAAGATAATGCCAATAAGATTATTTGGACAGCTCGTAAACAACTCCTCTGACAGTCCTGCGAGCCTCCGCCCAAAGCTGTTCACAGCATCACTAACACTGGTGCTTGTGCGGCCACAAGCTACCACAGTCAATCAAAAATACTTCCACATGAAACAACAGTAAATCACTTTGGACAGAATTTTCCTCGGCCTGGTTGGTGAGTGTTAAAATGTCACTAGCAGCGGTTGCTAACGCTCGAGTACCGCCAAAGTTTAGACTTTTGTCACTTCCTTTAAAAACACAGCCCACACTCAAAAGTCCCTTCCGTCGTCCAACCCCCAGCATTTGACTGACAGAGCACCTTATTGACAGTAAAAATGCTATTGTATACAAATACATTTTAAATTTATGTGAAATAGGTTTCACACACACCCACACACACACACATTCTCTAAACTGGAGCCTATCCCATCTGTCATTGGGCAAAAGGCAGGATACACCCTGAACAGGTCTAGGTTTCAAATACATTTTGGCATAGCTGAAGTGTGACAATGAGATAATGCAATTGCAAATGGGTGATTGTTATTCTGTTTTTAATTCATCAGAGTCAAGTTAAGGGACTGTTAAGGCAAGAAAAATGAAATTTCAGAAGCATTTTGCTTTTTCATATTACGTTTTTCCAGCCATTATATGCAGAAATGCAAATGCAAATACATGTTTTACATCTGAATTTGAATAATGTCTTAAATAATGTACACTCACATGGGAAACGCGATTGTAAATGAACAATTCATTTATCTTCTAAGCCGCTTATCCTCCGGGGTCGTGGGGGTGTGCTGGAGCCTAAGCCAGCAGTCATTGGGCAGAAGGCTGGACAGGGAGTCTGTCCTTCACAGGGCAGACACACAGACACCTAGGGGCAATTTAGTATCTCCAATTCGCCTGACTACATGTCTTTGAATTGTGGGAGGAAACCCACACAGACATGCAAACTTCACACAGAAAGGACCCTGGTTGCCCAGCTGGAGAATTGTACCCAGACCCTTCTTGCCACCCACAAATAACTGAGTGAGCATTTTCTAATTTGCTTTTGAATTTGAAAAATATTTGGAATATGCTGCCATACAGAAACACACAAAAGTACATCACACAACTAAAACTGTATCTTAAAACCTGACATTTTTCCATACTTTTGTCTATGTTTCTAGATTCAGTATGTCATACAGTCAAGTGACTGTAGATTGCAACCCCAGTGCGGTTTGAGGCAAGTGTGTGATGATTTAGGCATGTACAATACTTAATTAATGGCCAAAAGCTACTATTACTTCTTAGCTACATTAGCCTGATAGCTTCTGTGCAAAACTAAAGAAGCAAACTTCAGAATTGAACATGTCTTGGCTGATCCACTACACTTGGAGTAAAGGGAAAATAGTGTAAATCTATTGCTTTAAGTTCACTCCTTCAGCTGTCCTGCAGTTGATGTTAATGGAGCGCTTTCAGATGGATGCAAATGATACTGAACAGTAAATAAATTAAGCACTCTACGGTCATATGCAAACATACTATCAAATGACATGTTTAGTTGATTTTCTATTATTTCCTTCAAAGAATTACACATCCTCTACAGAGAACACACTTCTACACATTCAAAGTACTGTTTATTTGCTGAATTAAACATATTTTTCCAGTATGTGAAACTCTTTTGGTAAAATTGAAATGAGTAGAGTTACTGAGTCAAAAGGAAAAAACATGATAAAATATGGTGCGTGTGCGCTGCTGCAAGTCACTCTGAAAAGCCTTAAATACTAATTTAAAAGTCTGAGGCATTGGATTGGATTTTGCAGGAGTTTTTTGGACCAAGTCATAGATCATTACATATTAACATCACATGCACAAGCTCAAAAAGAAGGTCCGGCACAATGTTTAGGTCTCAAATGCAGAATTAACATTATACTGATGAAGATATGACGAAAATAACAGGTAATTCATGGAGTTCCTCAGAAAACATGTCCTTCAGCAAGTTTAGAGTGAGTTCTCTTTGAATATTCTTTCAGTGCTTCTTTCACAGCTGATATTACAGTGTTCTTCCACACGTTACATGCATTTCCAGCAAAGGGTTAGGGAGGGTCTCTGAATCCCCCAAACTTACAAAGTGTAGCTTTAAGTTCAGTCCTTGTGGGGATGTGTCAGCTCATTTTC